AAAGGAATCCCATTAAAATTTTGTCAAAATCATAAATCATCATACGCTAAACTACAATTATCAGATTTTTTTTCCGCTAATCATCCAACTGTAAAGCAATCTCACGTTGGATACAGAGCAATAAATCTACATTTACAAGAAAATACAAAAAAAAGGCATTTTTTTGGAGATAAGAATGATAAAATAAAATGAAACCCATTTCCTGATTTCTATTTCCAATTCATTTTGTTGCTGAATCCAGGGACTAAATCAAGAGAATTTGAGATACCCAGAAACTGAAACAAGAGAGAAAAAGGGGGGGGGAAGCATGCCTTCAAGGCCTTTATCTCCAGGTTCAAACCTGCCAAGACCAAGTTTCCTCAACAAGACGAGAGTTATATTCTTGGTCTTAACTATCTCTTCTTCCGCTGTTATCCTTTTTACTATAATTTACTTCCTTTACCATCTTTGGACCTCTCTTTCAAACCGAGCTAGAACCATCCCTTTTGACTCCAGTGCTCCTCTCAAGCTCCAGAGGTTTTGTTACAAGGACTTGAAGAACGCTACCGATGATTTCGATGACGCGAATATCATCGGCAAAGGTGGTTCAGGCACCGTGTTTCGTGGCATTGTCAGTGATGGTAAATTGTTTGCAATCAAAAGGCTTGACACGCTCTCTCTGCAAACCGAGAGAGAGTTCCAAAACGAGTTGCAGATTCTCGGTGGGCTAAGATCACCTTTTTTGGTTACCCTTTTGGTTATTGCGTTGAACAAAACAAGCGTTTGCTTGTTTACGAGTATATGCCTAATAAAAGCTTGCAAGAATCACTTTTTGGAGATGGTAATATGAGCATGAATTGGCAGAGAAGGTTTGATGTCATCCTCGATGTTGCTAAAGCTCTCGAGTTTCTTCACTTGGGTTGTGATCCTCCGGTGATTCATGGAGATATCAAGCCCAGCAATGTTGCTCGATTCTGACTATAGAGCAAAGATTTCAGATTTTGGGTTGTCGAGAATTAAGGTAGAAGGTTTTGGAGTGGATTTGTTCAGTCAAGAGCTATGGAAGAGCCAAGAGTTGTCTGGGACTTTGGGAGGAACTACTGGTGAACATACACCAGCTATTGGGACTCCTATGGATAGTAACAACACCGAGGTAGACTTTGCCCTTGCTTTACAAGCTTCTTCTTCTTCAAAAAATAGTAAAAAGTGTTATAATGTTAGGGCCCTGAGTTTAAGTTCTTTGAATTTAATGCAAACTTAGCCATTGATAATGACTGTAAGGGTGGGATTAATGGAAAAGGGAAGGATGTTACATGTGTGGATACTGACGGGATGATTGGAATACTAAGTTTGCCTTATGATGATGAGTTTGGTAGTATTGGTCATAGTAAGGAGCTGAATTCTAGTGCAAATTTGGGTGCTGATGAGGCGGCAGGGACGTCGGCCAGTATGAAACAATGGGGAAAGGATTGGTGGTGGAGGCAAGATGGTAGTGAATTGTGCAGTAAAGATTATGTTATGGAGTGGATTGGGAGCCAAATATGTCCATCAAATCCTGATTGGGATGATGAGAAAAAGCCAAGTCCTGAGAAAACTGAGTTGGACAATTCAATTCAGTTGGATAAGTTGGAAGATGATAGTGAATCCCAGATGCAAGGACTTGGCTTTGATGCTTTGGATAAGGGTTTCGAGAAGAAGGAACCTAAACCGAAAGGAAGGAAAAACAGGAATAAGACACACAGGAAGATGCAAGAATGGTGGAAAGATGACCATTTAGGTGAGACAAGCAAAAAGGATAGTAAGCTGAGGCAGCTTAAGATTAAGTGGAAGAAAGGGTTTAAAATGCCAAATTTTGATCTGGGAAGGCGGTTTTATTTCAGCCGGAGCAAGAAGTTCGGGGAACCGGATCAAGATGCCTGTGATGCGAATGGAGTTCAGTTTTAGAAGAGGATGGAGAAGAAAGAACAACAATTCCATTGGCAGCGACATGTGGATGGGGATCTTTTCAGTCGTGAGCTAAGCAGCACCACGAGCATGAGAGGACTTTGTGTTATGTTGCGCCGGAGTACGGTGGGTGTGGCTACCTAATGGAGAAGCTGATATTTACAGTTTTGGAGTTTTGATCCTTGTGATCGTATCTGGCAGGAGGCCATTGCATGTCCTTGCTTCACCTATGAAGCTCGAAAAAGCAAACTTAATAAGCTGTAGGCATTAGCTCAATCCGGAAACATATTAGAACTCGTTGATGAGAGATTGAAAGATGAGTACAATAAGGAGCAGGCAAGCTTGTGCATAAATCTAGCACTTAGTTGCCTGCAGAAAATGCCCGAATTGCGACCGGATATCATGGAGATTGTAAAGATCTTGAAAGGGGATATGGATCTCCCAACAGTTCCGGTCGAGTTTTCTCCGTCGCCGCCATCTAAATTATACAACAGTTCAAGGAGAAAACAAAAGGCAAATGCAGATTAGGTTTTTTTTTTTTGGTAATCCTTTTTCAGTTTTGGTTCTGCTTTTGCTTTCATGTTTGGAGTTTTGGTGACTGTTGATGAGTGTAATAGGATTTAGATGATGTTGATTGCAAAGTTGTGACTCGAAAACGTACATGGGGATGGACTGAAGGTGTGTATTATGATGATGATGTATGTAAATATGAAGTATTTCAACTTGTTTTTTTTTTCTCTACTAACACGAACCATATAATTATGATTGTGAAGGTAACTTTATGGTAATTTTCCATTCAATCTTCATTCGAACATTATGAATATAGATGACCAGCGGCAGTGGCATGCACTGTTTGGAAATTGGGAAGCATGGGGTCCTGGTTTTCTGGAAGCTATTTTATGAATTGTCCCTCTCTTCTCTGCTTTATGCAGCTTTTACTATTCAACCACGGTGCACAGTCTCCAAAAAAGCATTTTGGTGCAACACCTTTTGCTTTTTTTTCTCCACTTCATTTGAAATTTTAATTTCAATTATATGCAGTAATCTATTTTTATAGAAAAATGTTGGTAGAGTGCCCGTGTTGGTGGTGACGACACATAAAAGGAAAGAAGAAAGAGAGATTCGAACTCCGCGTTTTGCTTCCAATAATGACATAAAGTCACTCACTCCTGTCCTTGATGTTTTCGGGGCTCTATATTTGCATAGAATTAATGGTAAGTTTCTGCAACACCATGCTGTATTAATTTGTGTTGGTCCACCTTATTTAAACCTCTGGCTTTTTTCCCCCCTTAATAGATATATTTTTGATTTCACCGGAAAGATTGCTGATTTAAACTTATTTTGGCTTGCAGTTATATTACAACAAAGTCACTTTCCTAATCATGATAATGGGCTAAAGCTAAAACACTGGGGATTACAGTCAAAGAAAGCTCTCAGGGAATGGGAACAGTGAGGATCTCTATAGATCTAGTTAGGATCAAATGTAATTAAAGTTAGATTGGAGCCCCAAATATATGAAATAGATTGAGCTTTCGTTGCTTCCCAGAATATTCAATGTACTTTTTTCCCGGAATATTTCATCATAAACCTAGCATGGATTGTTGCGATTCCCACGGCCGTGGACGGACTTTCCGGAGCTCCAAGTGGTGGTAAGTTGCATGATTTTATTGGATGCTGTGGATAATCGTGTAATTGGATTCTTTTACGCCTTTTAGGAGATTTCTTCGAGGTGTTTGCGATTCCAAAAGGGAAATTGGATCACACAGTTTGTAAAATATCGAATACATTGGTGGAATAAAATTATTTGTTTGTTTTGAGGTAATTATAAAGATATATATTTAAGCCTTCCTTACATAATTTTTTAATTCTTTAGAGAGAATAACATTCTCTCTTTTTTTGAATAGTTTGTGGCTGTAACAGATTCAAAAATATTTTTTTAGGGTGGACATATATGTTAACAACATCAAATTTTTTTAATAGGGTAGACACAAATAAAATTTCACGATGGGTACAATCAGTAAAATAAGTAACTAATCGAAACATGTGGCTCTAAAGTGATCACAATATAATATTTGTTCAATTTTTTTTAAACTATTGATAATAAAATACAACTACTCGAATTCAAAAAATCAAAATCAAAGTAAATATAAAAGAGTTTTAAATCATAATCTTTTATTGAAATGGGGATAATTTAATATATTTAAAATTAAAAGGCGCGTTTGGGAATACATTAACTGCATAGTGTATGATTGGAATTGGAAATTTAGAGAGGGGCCATGGCGGTTGACTAGCAAAGAATAGGATGGTAGCTGGTAAGCGCAAGTGACCCTCTCTTCCTTCCCACCTCCTCCTCGTTTGAAAAAGAAAAAAGAGTGCAATATGACTGTCGTGGCAGATTCTTAGACCAAATCATGAAAAATAAAAATTATAGTGTTTCTTTAAATTTACTGTTTTATTGTGGTGTCGTGAGGGTGGATAAGTGTGATATCACTCGGTAATATTTCTTCACATTGATTTAATGAAAGAATAATGGGATCAAGCTGTTGTCTCAACGAAAAACAAAACACATGCTTCACGCAATGGTTAGCATTGTTTCATCACCCCTGCCACCGAGGGTACGCCTCTTGTAGCTTTCCCCCCCCCCCTAAAAATATCTTAGAAATATCTGCTTTGGCGCACTTGTTTACAACTATAACAAATATAAGGGGTCGATTAGGAAAAATAAGTAATGCATGGTGCATATGGAATTGAAATGGAGCTTGACCTATGTCAATGCAATCTATCCCTAACTTACAAGGTGAAGAGTCCAGTAAAATTTTATGAAACATTTCGACCCAGTAGTGGTTTTGATATAAATGACATCATTTTGGTTTCCAAGTCGAGGGTTTTAACTACATATTTCAAGCTGAGAATTTTAGACTTTAGAATATTTATAATTAAAAAATATTTGAAAAATCTTGGCTTCAAGGGTTGCATCAGTTGCAGGAAAGTTGGGGTGTGCTGCGAAGAAAAAACACGTTTAAACAACAGGAAGAAAATCAAATTAGCTAGAATTCAGTTTGATCACTTCATCAATCAACGAAACACCACAAGGTTCGACTGAACGATTAAAAAAGAATAAAGGCAGATCCCTTATCAAAGAAACAAGCAAAGTGAAACTCGTGCTAGATCCACCCAGATACAAGCCAAATCCAAGCTAATGGCAGAGCCAAAGCCCTTAAACCAGTCACGCCCCTAGGCAATACTAGCAGTCTAGCGGCATTGGTGCTGTTAGATGCATGACGGAGAACAGGTGAGGCGGTAGGAGAAGGGAGTGGGTGAACAACCACCGAAACCTTCATGCCATTGAAGCACTGCCCATTCCCACAAATGAAGTAGTACCTCTTTGCCTTCTTCAGAGGTATAAAATCCTTTCCACTGCTCCAGTTCCCTACTGCTCCTTCCGTTGTGCAGTTGTCATACCCGGTTTGGTTCACTTCAAACACATTGTATTGCGTCTTCTGGTACCTGAAGGCTGCAACGGAAGGCAGAGTAAATATCATAGTATCTTATATGGCATACATTTTAAACTCTTTTATCAAGTCATGTGATATTAGCTAAGGTATTCAAACTAGATCCCCCATGAACAGTCATCCCAAACTAACTGCAAATTGAAAATGCAGGTTCAAGAAAGACGGATACTTTTGCAGTAACCCCAAAACCACTGTTTAGCAGTTGATAGTACTAAGTTACCCACAATCATTAACTAGTGTTTCATTAAGGGGGAAAACAAACCCATCTTCCCTTTCCTTACTTTCTCTGGAAAGCAGAAGTGAAATTGTAGGAAACTAGAGATACAAAACAAAGTGATAGTAGTTAAAGAGAGAGAGAGTACAGATGAGGTCTCCAACATAGAAGGTGTGATTATTGGCCCAAAGGGTGTAGTTGATGCCAGGGTTCCAGCCTTTGTTAGCACCGACGATATGGTCGGTGGCGGTGACGGTGCCGAGTACCAAGAGAACCGAGCACACCCGGAGGAGCAGATTTGAGGCTGAGGTCGACATTGTTGGGGCTTGGGGGATGGAGGTTTAGCAGTTGGGTTTTGGTTAGCCAGCTTAATTTGCTTTTCTGGGAAGTGGGGAAACAAATGATTATTATCCCATACTTGAATTAGCTGGAGCTGTCCACACTGGGATTCCAAAACAGTGATAATTGGATAAGGCGGAGAACCATGGCCCCCACTTCATCCCTTGTATATAAATTTATATTTTAATTATAAATTTGTGAAAACATTCTTTATTTCTGTTAATTTATGGGATAAACTTTACAAATAGTCATTAATATTGAAGTAATAGCTAGTAAAGTTTAAAAGAAAATCTAATGTTATTTATTTATAATAAAATGATCACTCTACCGTTATTTCCGTTAAATTAATGATGTGATAATGTTAACAAAAAAATTAATATTTCATTTTCTCCCTAAACTACTTCTAAAACATCAAATAGGGTCTTTTCTGGGACATCCGATAAAATTAGAACAATACAAAGAAGAATAGCATGACCCCTACGAAGGATGGTGTGCACAATTCGATAAATGGTCCAAATTTTTAGGAGTGCGAGTGTTTGATGTAAAAAATAGTTGAGAATTATCTTTGAACATATATTACATTATATTTTTCCCAAACTAATAAAAAAATCATCAAATAGGTCCTTAAACAATAAATTTATATCTAGTTTATCCTAAAACTTTCTAATTTTTTTTCTTCCAAACACCCCATCACCTCCATTATATTTGAACCACATTCTTTACAAAACGAAAAAACACACATAAACAATTAGGAGCAATTTCCTTGGTATTTGTTTCAACCACACTTAAACAAAACATTTTTATCTAGACAATAAGTTGTCTTCTCTTTATTGCAAAAAAAAAAAATAGTGAACCATTCTATTATTTTTTTCTGTTTCATTATATATTTTAAATAACTGGTAACCACGAACCAAACATCAAATGCTAAAGAGAAAATAGAGCACACTAGTAAGTACTTTACTTGAATCCAATGCTGTAAGATATGTACAAAAACACTGAGTTTCAAAGATTGATATTGCAGCTGAAAATAGTTTCAGATCTTTAGGTTTTGTTTAAGTGAGATTGAAACAAATACCAAGGAAAGTGCTCTTGATTGTTTAAGTGTGATTTTCATTCTAGAAGGAACGTGATTCAAATATAGTGTAAGTAATTGGGTGTTTAGAAAAAGTAAAAATTACAAATTTTTTTTGTGTAAATTAGATATAAATTCATAGTTCAATAACGTATTTGATAATTTAGCAGCAATTTAAGGGCAAAATGAAACAATAACCTTTTTGTTAATGTTGTCACATCATTAATTTAACGGAGATGACAGTGGAATGACATTTTATTACAGTTGGTAACGTTAGTGATCATTTTATTACAAATCGATATCGTTAATGACCGATTTGTTACTTTCGAAACTTTAGTGGGGAAACAAAAACTTAAACATTAATGACCACTAGTGTAGGTTACTCTAATTTATATTACCATCGTTTAACATGTTTAATGATGGTGAGTATTAACATACCACTCTGTGATCTGATGGTTGCTTGTTTTGTATTTTTTTCAATTATAAGATGGAGAATATTTTAATGCTCATAAGAATAAAATAAATAAAATTAATCATCTTTATTTAACAATGGATATCCTAGTCTCAAGCCTTCACCAAAACAAAGTATTAGCCTTTTTCCTGATTCTTTCTACCTCTCTACTCTCCACCAACTCGGTGCATAGTTGTGGTGAACTGCTGATTAATTTACCTCTTTTCTCTTTTGCAGGGTTGCATTGGCACCATTGACCAGACCAACGTTCCTAAACCACATGCCATTCCCTACTATTCCCAGATAACCTCCAAAGGAGGTCTTTCGATCGCCGAGGCTACTGGAGATTCTGATACGCTCAAGGGTAGTAGAGTATATTATATGCACTCTGCATACAATGTTGAAAACTTAACATTTTCTTTGAACCTCAGAAATTAATTTCACGAAATCTTCTTTTCATTAATAAAGGTATGCCGATGGACCTGGTATATTGACAGAGGAGAAAGTTGAGGCCCGGAAGCCCATTGTTGATGCTGTTCATCCAAAGGTGGAATTTTCTTTTGTCAGTTTGGCACGTTGGAAGGGTTTAAAATAAATGTCTCACGCCTCCATTTGTTTCTCTTCTGTGACATTTCCCAAGAAAAAAAATCAGTAATGAATGGATGATTGAAAAATCAATGCCTTAATTCTTATATCGACTACTTTATTAACGATTCTAGCCAAGATATATCAAAATATAAATGTAGACAAGGGGATAAGGTTCAACCATAATTATTAATAATATATTAATTAAAATGCCATTTAACGTAAAATTTGATGTGGATAAGGTTCAACCATTCCATAAATTTGATGTCAATAAGGATGAGGCTTGACGTTGCACGGTAATGGAAGTTGGGAGTCTTTGGCACGTTGTGGACAAGTCGTGTCACTTTATTTTTCTTCTTTCGATTGAAGGTTAATTCAGACAACCCGTACAAAAGTTATCCCTAGTTATAGCAACTAATGGTAACTTTTATTTAAATAAGGGTAAACTATGCCAATAGTCACTGATGTTTGAGTAAGTATTCATTTTTACAACTAATATTTAAAAAGTCATAAATCGATCACTAACGTTATTATTTGTTACAAATTTGTCACTCGAAATTAAACGTCATTTACTGCCGTAACGGAATACTGATGTGGCATGTTAATATGATTTTTTGACATCATTTGACTCAATTAGACCGCTTCAACCGACCCTTCTTCTTCAACCATGGAAGACCAAAAATGAAAGAACAATGGAACATAGATAATACAAACCAAAAAATCCAAACTTACTAAAGAAATCAATCTTCCTCTTCCAGTCGGTTTACTTATCGAACTCATCACATAGAGTGCTTCCATAAACAATGGCTTAGAAGGATTAAATCCCATTTCCTTTGTTTCCTATACCAAATCCTTAAACTTATGTGGACATCTAAAAAAACGTTGTAGGTTGTGAACACAATGTTGAAGCAATATTACATTCAGCAACTCCATTATCCAGCAAAGTATTGATGTTGGATAAGAACATATCATGTAGGCAGTAGCCGATGAGGCGAGCACAGCGTTTTAGGGCACGGATGATCTTCTCACTGGACTTAAGCACGTTACTAAGGAAATTATAAGATGGGATTGTATTATTTTCTAAGCTTGAGAACAAAAATGTTGGGTTATGAGACAAGATATGAGCAAGTCGGGGTTTGAAACACCTTTTATAATAAAATTTCTACGAAGGTTAAATTATAAATTTATCCTTAAACTATTTTAGATTTACAAAAAAATCTATAATTAAAATTTTATATGAAGTTTAGGGGTTAAAATAAAATTTTACCCTTTCATTAAACCTTTTTTATATTTTTAGTTTTGTAAAAAAATATATATAAATTTTATGAATTTACTTTTTTTAAAGAAAATATATAAATATTTTCCAACTTGTTAAAAAAACAAATATATAATAACGACAATTTGGTCAAATATACATTCCAAAAATCTTTTATTCTTTTAACCAAACACAGTAATCTTATATTCTTACTAAACCAACCAAACACAAAATACAACATTCCCAGTAATCCTATTCCCTGGTAATATTTTATTCCCACTGATAATCTTACATTCCGTGAACCAAACGCACCCTTAGAGATTAAGAACTCAAGTCTGGGCAAAGTGGTTTTTTAAACACTTGATGTAAGCACTGCACGGCGTCCCTTGATGAGGCGAGTGATTTGGGGCTTTGAGAAGCCATGGTTTTTGAGAACAGCAAGCACAAAGACTTTTTTGGGGAATATCTGGTGGCCTTAAAGCAGATTCTGAGAAAACCCACATTTGTTTTTGAGATATGAAACTGTAAATGAATTCTCATTTGAAGAACTAGATATGTATATGAGAATTAGACTGTGATAATCCTAAAAGTTTGTGACTTTGAGTGGTTGTAACTATGTTTCTCCCATGGAGAACTGTTTTGCAGAGAAAGTTAAACATTGGGAACGTGTAATTGAGTTAAAAAGGCAAGGAATTTACCTGTTTTTGGACGAAAAAAGCAAAGATTTCTTCTTTAAAATTTGAATGGAGGCAGCTTCTGGGTTTAAAGGAAAAAACCCCAGCAGTAGCTTGGAAAAAGCAATTCTTTAGGAGTCGACTGTGTTGGTCAAATTGTGGTTTTGGTCAAATTGAAGAACAATGAACTAGAAAATGGTCAAATAAAAAGCTCTCATTTTTTGGTTTGGACTATCTCAGTTCCATCGTTTCTTCATTTTTGTTGAAGAAGGATTGGTCAAAATGGTATAATTCAACTAAATGATGTAAAAAAATCATATTAACGTATCACGTCGACATTTCGTTACGACAATAAACGACAGTTAACATCAAATGATCAATTATAACAAACGATAATATTATTAAATAATTTATGACTTTTAAATATTAATAGTAAAAACAAACACTTACTCAAATATCAGTGACTATTTCCATAGTTTACCCTTTAAATAATGAAATCTATGTCAGTGGACCATGATAAAAGTAATGGCAATTGGCCACTATGTCGTGTATTTTCTACTTAATCATTGATCTTTTCAGAATCCAAATTAATGCAAATCGTGTGATAAAAACCCAAAATTTATCACATCTCTTTTCCGAACAAGTAATGGATAAACTGAATTTATCTTGTCAAGCTTTTTTTTTCCATGAGCAAATTAATGCAATTGGAATCATTTTATATACAAAGGGGACAACCACCGGTTGTGGGTTTCTGCTAATTACAGTGGTGGTGATCAAATGTAAGGATTAATATGGGAAGAATAATCACGAATTCCAGCTCCTTCCCATCCCATCCATTCCTCCCACAAATCCCAATCTGATTCCTCCATTCCCCTCATCGCCTCATCTATTTCTTCCTCTGTTGTCGCCGTTTCCCCTCTCAATTTACTCATCATATCTGCAATTCCAACATCCCACATCGTATCAGCAACAATAATCAGACCAAAACTGGAATTATTTGCATTTTTTATGATTTGCAAAACACAATAAAAATATATTTTTTTTAAAGAAGCGATGCTATCTGATGGTAGGAAGAAGAAAAAAACATACATCATAAGCTTCATTGATCGTTTGAAACTGAACCCCGCAATTGCTTCCTCTGCAAACGTCTGGGTGGTACTGAAATTAATCCCCACCACCAGAAAAAGGAAACCAATCAGATCAACAAAATCCCACAGTAAAAAAATAAATTAGGAAATTTCCTATTAAAAAAAAAGTACCTGAAGTGCAAGTTGCCTGAAGGCCTTCTTGACCTCAGATTCAGAGGCGCCGGGTTGGACCCTGAGGGTTTTGTAAGGATCCATAACAGAAGAAGAGTAAGAACAACAAACTCTAGCTCTGTTCGCAGTCTTCTTCTTCCCCTTTTCCTTAACTTGCATCCACGAAAACAACCCTTCCCACCGATCATACCGATAGCACTCGCCATTGATCGCAACCCAAATATTC